ACAAGACGTTGAAAGCTGCATGGTTATAGTTCTTTAGTTATTTATTTATTAAATTTTAAATTAAAAAGATAATTTTCGACCACCCTATACTGTGTAGATGTCAGTTTTATTACCTAGATATAGTGTAGATATCACATTTATTACCTAGATATAGTGTAGATATCACATTTATTACCTAGATATAGTGTAAATATCACATTTATTACTTATATGTAATGTTAAGATATCACTTTGATTGCCTAGATATATTGTGTAGATATCAATCTTATACCTAGATATGTTGTGTAGATGTCAGTTTAATTACCTAGATATAGTGTAGATATCACATTTATTACCTAGATATATCGTAGATGCCAATCTTATTACTTATATATAATGTAAAGATATCAGTTTGATTGCCTAGATATATTGTGTAGATATCAATCTTATACCTAGATATGTTGTGTAGATGTCAGTTTAATTACCTAGACTAGCGTATAGCCCGTCAAAAATGACGGGGCAAGTACTATCACCCCCCAACACATATTATACCCTACCTCACATTTCATAGCTAACTGAAATAAATAAATTTTGCGAAATCAAGCTTCACCAACAAATAGGCAGAAAAGTGCAGTCGAGACAGTCAAATGGTGGTACATTCCTTTGTGAGCCAATCAGAATTAAGATTATTCACGAAATGAATTCGTAGCGTATTCATATAATAATCATTGGTAAAAATCATTTAGATTAACAACTTCTAATATATAAAAAAGTTTGTTTGTTTTTAATTAAGCACAAAGCTGCACAATGGGATATCTGTGCTCTGCCCACCACGGGTATCGAAACCCGATTTCTAGTGTTATAAGTCCGCAGACATACCGCTGTGCCACTGGGGGCATATAGAAAAAGCCAGTGCGTTTTGGTAACACTAACAATGGCTCTTATGTCATGTAGCTTAAACTAATACTATTGTTATTCTATGTACTGAAAGTATAAAATGAAACGTATAGACAAAACTGGAACAATATTTGTTGATTTCTTAATTCGTTGATTAAAGAGTTTTTTTTTTATTAAAAACGTTGGTGATATAACAGAAATTAGTTTAATTCAGAAATGATTTAAGTTTGAAATTGAATCGATGTTTTTACGTTCATGATAAATTTTATGCACTTGTCTCAAGGCTAGATGATCTCACACTACGCCTTTACTTTAGGCTTATTATACCAACACTCACAACACTTATAAGGTTTCACGGCCCCTTGCACCCCGTCATTTAAATAGTAATGAGCAGACAGTAATCAAACTATTCTATCTGGATAAATGCATTTTGTCTTCTATGACTCCTACTATTTTGAGAAACCAAGCGTGACGTGACACACACTGGAATTTATATAGGTTAGATACATTGTTTAGATGTCAGTGTTATTACCTAGATATGTTGTGTAGATGTCAGTTTTATTACCTAGTTACATTAAATTATACATTGTTATTACACAGAAAAGTGTACGTGATACGAGTATAGTCGAACAGTTTGGAGTCGTTGATCATGAAAATGGAGAAAATTATAATAATAACATAAAAATAGATATTGTTGTAGCTGTGTTTCGTTTTGGTTACTGTAATTTAAAGTCAGTTTGATAACCTGTGACGTTCATAGATCCTTGACAAAGGCGTAAGCCGAAACGTCGGGTACAAGTAATTAAACATTGTTTGTCGTCTTCATTAAATAATAATTTGATATTTTACTAAGCAACAATATTTTTTTTTGTTTTCTACACGTATTGGGTAAGTTTAAGTTACACCAACCCAGTGTCTCTGCGGTAAGTTTAGTGTTTTATAATACTAAAATACGAGGATCGATCCCTGTAGTGGGCACAGCACAGATAGTTTATTGTGCAGATTTGTTCTTAAATATATGATATAGTTCTCCCCCCACCCCCAGTGTTTTAAAGTGAAAATATTACAGGTTGAATTTTTTGAATAAGCTGGCATTATTATATATTTGGTAGTCTTATTTTTTAATATCCTTTAAACACGTGTTTGTCTTTCTTTTCTGTCCTAATTTCGTTCAAATTCTAAGGATACCAACATTAAACTTCGTTGATTTTAGTGTAACGTTTTAGTCAGTTAACCCTTCAGTTGATACGCATGTTTATTACGTAATTCATATAACACTAAATATAACATATAAAGTTTACAAAAAAGGGGATTTTAACTTAACGGTTTAATGTGAGGAGACATAAATGTGATGTAATTCAACTACCCTCTTAGACCAGCCCCCTAGTGGCACAGCGGTATGTCTGCAGACTTACAACGCTAGAAACCGGGTTTCGATACCCGTGGTAGGTAGAGCACAGATAGTCCTTTGTACTTAATAATAAACATCAAACATCACTTAGATCATGCTAGATTTTCATTTTACATGTTGTATGTAGTTGATTAACTATTTACCCACATTATTTCAGGTCCGTTTGAAATTACTAATATATACGTGCCTTTTTTTTTTCAGTGCCTTGGGGATATTCCCGACAGGGGTCGTGCCAAGCAGGGTTCTCAGCAGCCGTTACACAGGTAATCATGAGGCTCATTCCATCAGTACAATTTATCAAATCTTTGACTTCATCTACCAATTTAAAATTTTCATTATGGTAATAAGTTTCGGATCAGTG